TTTTGTTTTCATTTTAATAAACACTTTAATGACTACCATAATCAATAACTCTTCAATGACAATTAAAGTCATACAACAATACACTATTCAAGTTGCTGCTGTCAGAATTATTGCCAAAAGCCAAGAGTATGAGGAACAAGAATGATACAGTATGACTGGTTACTGTACCAACAGGGGCCACACAACCCTTAATGTAAACTACAACCTAAACATAACAGAAATGCAATCAGTAAAAAAAAAAAATTATAATAACAAATAAATAAAATAAAAAATAAAAAGGGAAAAGTATGATCAATAACAGGGATTAGCTGGTAACAATTCAGCTGTTCAAACAAACTCAAAATGATGTGTATATATATATATAATAGTTCTGCTTTTCAAGTTTGCCTGTGATATACATCAGAGAACTTCCAACAGATACTGGTCACTTCATTGTAGGGATAGAAAGAGCTAAACACATCACCCCAGTAGGAACTTAGTCCTGTTTTACTGCTACTATAGACAGCAAAATGTAAATAACAGCTTGTGTAAGTGGACTACAAATTAAACCCAAATACACAACCTTAAATCACTTAGAAGAAAAAAAAACAAAAAAAACAAACAAACTTAATTCTGCATTGTGGCACCTTACTGTCCATTCCACTCCACAACTCTGTGAATAACCCAAACGTATAGAGAGGGTTTTGAATTAATAACTCTCCACTGTCAAAACCTATTATATGCGAGTGGGCTTCCGCTACCCTACTCTACAACCATACAATGTAACCTTCAGTTTGTCCTCTGTTGCTTTGGAATATCCACATTCATTATTAATCTTGTCACTGTTCTGTATTAAAATATATGTTCGTATCGTTTATACAAATTGCAATCACTGTCCTTTCAAAATATTGCCGAGTATGAACATAACATATATCTGGGTAAATCCTTACAGATACAAAACAGCTTTGCTTACAGTTCATCATATTAGTAACTAAATTTATGAGGCTGATTAAATATAAAACTTTGGTCACATACACCTGCTGGAATCCTTCCCAACTTAAAGTTTTCAACACAAAAACTATAGATCATATATGATAAAAAAGTTGCAAGACTTTAATATCATGTATCTGTTAAATTGTCCTGTCAATGAGTACATTTCAAAGCACATTATCTACAGTAACTTTTAAACAAAGATGAGAAAATTCATTTATGAAATGCAAATATACAAAAGTATGAGAATATGTACAAACATGTGCACACTATGTTTGGGTGTACAAATGGATGTATATTTACAGTACAAGACAAAACACAAAATCCTTCAAACAAAAAATTAATGAAGACTTAACACTCCTGTATACAATCATCCATATAAATAGAAAAGGAAAAAAAAAATAATAATAATAAAATAAAAAGTCATGTACAAGGCTCATGACAAACATTCTCAGTCATAAACTTGACTATAAATACATACAAAAATAAACAAATAAGACATACACAACAAAAACTTCTATGTTCACCTACAGGCATACACATCCAAGGGAAAAATCATTCTAAAAAATAAAACCTAACAAAAATAATTCTTTGATTGTGCTTCAGAAAATCTGATTAAGTCACAGATATAAGTCGAACTTTCCCTATTGGATAAAATATTAACACACACAGACTTTGCAAACATATTCACTTAAAACTAATTTGTTTTTTTTCCACTTATAATAATGTAACTTATATCACAAGTATCTGATAAAAAATCAAGGTTAAATTTCATTCCTTGTTAAATTACTATAATGGTTTATTTGCCCCAAAATAATCACTCATAAATGGGTCCAAAAAACAATGTTTATTTAAGCACATATTCTAAGATCAATACACAAGATACAGCAGGGAGTGCAGGGCACCATTCCAGCTTGTGTTTGACACTCGCTACAGAAGAAAGAAGTGTACTGGCTACATCCTCAAGGGGCTATACAGCATTACTGTGAATCAGGCCCAATTGAGAAGACTCAGAATGTGAAGGTTGTGACACTGAACCATCAATGGAATCCAAATCAAGATCGTAAGAACTATCCAGCAGGTACAACTGGCTGGTAGAGACGCCGGATGTGCCCCCTACACCACCAGTGCTGCTTACCACTGGTAGACTATCAACAGGACTTGATGGGACTGGGTGAACTGGGGCTGGTGCTACTGAGGAACCCACAGGTGCTGGGAGAGGACTGACTTGAGGATGAATTCCTGTTGGGCTATTGCTCACTGCTTCCTTGCCTGAAACAGTCACGAAATTGTTATACTGGCAATGACTTGGTGTGCACGATAATACAAGTTTTTGAGTATTACTGTGCAGATCAAACAGGTACCATTATGTTTGATTTCTGCTATGAGAACCTCAACTGCATTATAGGAAGGTCAGAGAAACCCCTAAACACAATTTTCTCAAGTACCTCCGTAACACTATACAAAAATAGGAAACACTACAACAAGGACACACAGAATCTTAAAGAAATGTGCAAATCACATGAAAATGCCAAGGCACTCTGACTATGGTGAAAAAAAAAAAGAAAAAAAGAAAATGTAAAAAAAAAAAAAAAGAAAGAAAGAAAAAAAAAAAAAGACTGCTGTACTGTGAGGGGGGGGGGGGATAGGTACAAGCAAGGTGTGCGCATGGAGTGACGACCTCACCTCATCCACATTCTTGAAACTATTCTGGCCATACAAAGGCAATTGAACTTTATACATGATGATTCCGGTAAGAGAGTGACACACTAGACTAAAAAAAAGGTAGAATAGGCAAGTACTGTGCTTATTATGTTCTTTCAACAGCCCTTGAAAAATCAGAATTCAAACAAACATTTCTACAATATCATCATGAGATACAATATGCAACCAAATAAAAATATAAAGAAAAGAAAAAAGAAAAGAAAAGAAAAAAAAAAAGAAAAAAGAAAAACAAGAGATAATAATAAAGAGAAAATCTTTAAACGCAATTAATAGCAGAACTTTTCAGCAGTATCAATAACAAAAGCAACAAGGATATTAACACTCATGGTGATAATAAATAGCAATAGCATTTGGAAAAAAGTTGTGGGAGCAAATGTTGTATATAATAATTCATAAAAAAAAAAATCAGCAATTACCTTCTAAAGAAGTGCAAGTGCTAATTCAAAAAGCAAGAGAGAGAGAGAGAGAGAGAAAAAGAAATGAATAATAAATAAACAAATAAGTAAAATAAAAATAAGTCTCAGACAGCTATGACTCTTCACATCACAAAGAAACAACCTCAAATCATTCCAACATCAACATCCACGAGCATCAACAAAGTAAAAAAAAAACAAACAATAATAAATAATAATAAAAAAAGCTTAATGATATGTCGTTCTTTAATCAAACAATCACTAACTCAGTAACCAATACAGGAAGGTATCTCAGTGCTATATATATAAATAGATATTTACTTCAATGCAAATGCAAGAGAGTACAGTGCCGTAGTGACAAGTGAGTGCATTCTACTACAGTGTAAACACCTAACCATGCTGCAGCCACTGATAATATTCCTCAACCCACCTTTTGTTTCCATGATATGCTAAAGTTATTAAATTCAAGGTGAAAGAAATATAAAAAACAAAATCAATCAATCCAATGAAAAGAAATTTAAAAAAAACAGGAAAAGGTGAAACAAACAAGGATGAGAAGAAAAAAGAAAATGACAACTAAAGAAAGAAACAAACAAACGAAAAGAGAAGAAAAAAAAATCTAGTCCACTAGTGAACTGCGAGATGACTGCTTATGCAAAATGATTGGGATCTGTTGGTCGTCATCTTTCAGACTTTTCCTGAGTTTTCTCCCAGTTATCTTTTGAACTTTGCCACAAGGATTTCCTCTATGCACATGACCAAAGTTGTTGTTGTTGTTGTTATTGTTGCTGATGATGTTGTTGTTGACATTTAGGCCTAGTGGAGGGAATGACGGCAGAAGTGACAGCCAGTGGAGAGGAGGGAGGCAGCATGAAGGGAGAGAGAGAAACAGGGCAAGACATTAGAACTTAACACACATATAACTACCACCCTTAACAATGATCTACAAAGCTTCACTACGTACACTTTCACTATATATTCAAACAGTAAATGTGCAAAACTAAAAACCTCTTGGGTAACTCCAAAAATATCACAGTTACGGCTATCTACACAAAAAATGGAAACCGAATACAAGTGCCTTTGCATTCTGTTTATAAAATTGCCAAACAAAATACATGAAATAAAATACATCGCAACTTTCTACAATTAAAGCAACATCTGTTATTCTTTGAACTATTGTGATATATCTCCTACTAAATATATGATTTTTAGTTTTTTTTTGCAGTTGATGATGGTTTTCAAAAAGTCATATCTAACCAAACCTATCTTACATCCTTTACAAAATATTCCGATTAGTTCCTTCCACATCACAGATTATTATTATTATTACTATTTTATTTTATCTTATTCCTTTTTTTATCAGATACCCTGTATCTTGCATCCATCATATTTGTAAAGATTACTACATTAAAAAAAAAGAAAAAAAGTTCCTATGCATGTGGCAGAATACCTCTTTTTTCAAAAAGAAATATATAAATAATAATTATTACCCCCACTTATAAAATAAACAGCACCATTTTCTTATACAATAAATAAAACTAAGGTCAGTAATACCAGATGTTCTTATGACATACAAACATTATTACAACAAAGAAGTCATGAAAATTAGCAGAGCAGATTCGGTGTAAAACAAGAATGCTGTATGACAAAACACTGGAAAAGCATTTCCAACCAGCACCGATTAACATATTTTAGAACTCACAATCTGAAGAATGTTTAATGAGATGCAACAGCAGACTTAAAATGTGAGATACAGTTTGTGAGGTACATGCCTGTATGTTGTAGTGCACTGTACATATAAGGATACAGACAGGCATTTTCAGTTATGCTCTTCCTTTCCTGATTAGCTCCACACATCTTTGTTAAGTTGACAAAACCACTATGACATACAATATCATCGGCTTAAGCATGGTAGAGGATAGGATAATGTATACATTTGCACTTTTCTAGGATACAGACAGGCATTTTCAGTTATGCTCTTCCTTTCCTGATTAGCTCCACACATCTTTGTTAAGTTGACAAAACCACTATGACATACAATATCATCGGCTTAAGCATGGTAGAGGATAGGATAATGTATACATAGTTGCACTTTCCACTTGGTTTAAGCAATGGTAACAATGACATTTTATCTGCCTGATGACAACGAAACAACTTCCAAAGCCACAACTAACACACTGACACTGTAGTCTGGAAAGAGATAATACACGCAAAACAATGACAACCAGACAGGTTACATTCATGAACTCTTAACTTTTAAAAAGAATTCATGATCAAGCTACTTTGGTTTTTAATGTATATATATATGTACTCCATGGACTAAGATATTGCGTAAGCTTCACTGAAACGTTTTGCAAACTTATGTGGGATAATATTAACCCAATGCCACCAGGTGGGTTCCCGATACGAAATTCCTCTCTCCTAGGCTGTATTCATAGTAGTCTGGGCCCCGCTGATCGTGTCAGTGCCATAGCGTGCGCGGTATAATCGTACATGCCCCCGAAAATCGGGACCGGCACTCCATGGCATGTATACACATGCCACCCGGAATATAATCCAGGCATGCCATGGTATGTACGTACATGCCATCCGGCAGCAAAGGGTTAATGATACTGCTCTCTTCTATTAAAAATCTACTGTGTGCCAATTTATATATAAAATATGCTACCAAATATCTTAGTTTGACATTCAGAGCTCTAAATACCTATATATCAACAACAAACTGTATCTAGAACCCAAATCTTTACAACAACCAAAATCTTTACTCACTCTCAGTAACAACATCAGGAGTTGCTACTAACTTCCTCAATACTGGAATATAATTCCCAAGATTTTCTCTTTGTTCATGATTTTGATGCTTACAATTTAATAAAAACTAAAAAGCATTAGGCAACCTATATATACTTAATAAGAATCTTAATAATTACCAAAAGCTGGTCTAACTCAAAACAAACACAAAAGCCTACCCACACCATGAGAGAGAAAAAGATAATATCACCAAAAAATTATTCCTTCAAGCTCACATATCAGATGAAACCTTTAATATTAGATGCTACCATTTACGGTTAAATAATCCCCTTGATACAAGAAATCTGAGGTGGTCTATCAAAGAATATCCCACCTATATGTACAAGGAAAGGAAATTCAAACACTCCATGATCTTTCTCATTAAAATGATATATAAATATTACAACTTCAGTGAATGAAACAGACATGAAGTATAAATTGGAGTCTGACATCAATGGACTAAATCTGGGCTAAATCCATGTATATTCTGGAGGCCTTCCCAAAGGCATATGAGATAAAGTGATAGTAACATCATTAGTATGTGACAGAAACACAGTATTATGTATAATCAAATAAATATTCTTTGGTTCAGCTATTAAGATCTTCTACTAGTAAGAGATATCCTTAGCTGCTAGACTTCGAACCATAAAGAGCTTTGATAACACTCACATATGGTATACTTTAAGGTTACAACTAAATATTACAAACAGCTATATTCTATGACACAAACCCAAGTCCACAATACTCTCCCAACACTTGCATAGAGTCAGATACCAGACTGCTCTTCCAATGCTGTTTAACCTATTGGACTAACTAATGCTTTGTGTTTCGTACTTTTTATCACTATCATACAAGAGAACCAAGCTAACTACAAACTGTGAATACATTTAGTGTGATGGATAGCAACATAAATACTGTATGGTGCATGAACCCATCAAGCCATGCAAGAGAGGTGTGCCTTCTGACCATGTGCCAATGGTGCAGATGTTGTGAGCTTGGATTTGCACCTTGGAATGAGGCCATGTTGTTAATCTGCAGCCACAGGCAACATGTGCCCTAAAATGCTTTACTCAGAATACAATCTTTGCAGATTTGCTACACTCTCAAAAGATTGAGTGATAACAGTCTGACATGAGACACATTATAAGCACACCTATTATCATCTATGAAAACTTGAACATCCAACTGTTACAATACATCAAAAATATAAGCATGTACTTTTCAGCTTTGTGTTTATTTTGTTAAAGACAGCCTGGCTGACAATGACTATGAATCATATAATAATAATAATAATAATAATAATAATAATAATAACAATAACAATAATAATATATATATAATAATTTT